GCACTGCGGGCGGGGGCGCGCGGGGCGGAGGCGCGGCGCCACCAATCGCAGACAAAGGCCGCCCCGTGAATCATGTGGTGCCGGGAGGAAGTCGGCTTGTTGTCTTTCCTCCAGCTGCTGGTCCGGGCGGAACGATGCGCGGAGACCCCTGCGAGGGTGGCGAGCCCCGATGAAGTCCGAGCCCCCGGCCGCGCCGCAGCGCCCCCGGCCCAATGGCGGCCCCGCGCTGGGACCCCCTCCGCAACGACTCGCTGCCGCCCACGCTGACCCCGGCCGTGCCCCCCTACGTGAAGCTCGGCCTCACCAGCGTCTACACCGCGTTCTACTCGCTGCTGTTCGTGTTCATCTACGCGCAGCTGTGGCTGGTGCTGCGCTATGGCCACAAGCGGCTCAGCTACCAGAGCGTCTTCCTCTTCCTCTGCCTCCTCTGGGCCTCCCTGCGGACGGTCCTCTTCTCCTTCTACTTCAGAGACTTCGTGGCAGCCAACGCGCTCAGCCCCTTCGTCTTCTGGCTGCTCTACTGCTTCCCGGTGTGCCTCCAGTTCTTCACCCTCACCCTCATGAACTTGTACTTCACGCAGGTGAGCCGGGCGGGCGGGAAGTGCGTGGAGGGCGCGGTGCGAGGGCGACGGGAGCGATGGCAGCGCGGGGGGGCAGGTCGCAGAGCCACGGGACTGGGAGTGTGGGGGAAGAGGCACTGGTTCTGGGGTCGTCTGAGCCCGTCCTACCTGTGGCCCTTTCTCTCAGGTAATGCCCTCCCATTCTCAAGAGGCGAAGAACAGTGAGGGCTGGACGCCACCTGTCAGACTGCCCTTAGCTCAGCACCATCCGATGGGTGTGGGGCCCTCTCCGCACAGGGCGCGCAGCATGTTAGCGCACACATCAGGATAGGTACTAGGTACCGATGGCAGGTGTGCCCACAAGGGAGACTAGTGTCAGGCTCCAAGCACAAGCCTAGACGTTTATTGGGGCTCTTTTACAGGCGTCATTTTATGAGGCGTATTGTTAATAAGCTAATGGGAGTACATATAAATAGGCTTGATTGCTGTCACCGTTGAGTTAATGAAAGTATAGTAATTGTAAAGTACTGCAAATACTGTGGCATTTCATAAAGTTCAATAACACAATGCTACCATCATCATCATCATCATCATCACTGATTCTCATTAGCTTTCCAAGCACTAAAATGCCCGTTTTCACTAGGACTCTGCCCAAGGGAAGGCACCCAGCGTGTCACTTGCTCAGGGTAATTTAAAAGCTGTCTCATGAGCACAGGCTTGGTGCAAGCAGGCATCCATTTCTTTAAACAGTGTTCCTATTTCTCTAAAGAAAACGTTATTGCTTTTTTTTTAAAAAAAAGAAAAGGTAGACAAAGGATTGTCCTGGTGTAGTGGGAACCCCTGACTAAAAATTTGAAGGACATACGTGTGGCTAAAATATAGCATGTGTACTGTTTCGTAGCTATTATACTCTTATTAAAATGGATTTACACTCAAAGCCACCTTATAAGTCCAGTGTATCAGCGCATTGTCCAGTCTACGACTAATGTGTATTATTTGTCCAAATACTACTCTTAAGCCCCAAAACCAGTTCAGGCAGTCAGCTCCACTGCAGACACTCCAGCTTTTTAATTGGATCAAAAGGAGTGGTTCCAGCAAGACACAAAAGTCAGGTGGGTTGATATTACTTCAAGAACGGTGACAGTGGCCATTTGCACCTTGAGATCTTGATTCGTGCCTTTTTGAGACTGCCACGGCTCTCTGGTAATCACATGCAGATTCTGCTGGATGAGGAGCAGGCTGCACATTTTCTGCACCACCCTACTGGTTGGCTAGTCAATGCTGAGCGAGGGAAAGTGTGACCAGGCAGACAGAGTCAGTCACAGCCACGGCCCTGGCTTCTTTATGTCTCCTGAGTCTTTTGTTCTCTATATCTCCAGGGTGGCTGGCAAGGGAAGGTGGTACCTAAGTGCTGGCATCTCAGATGCTGGCAGAGCAAAGCCGTTTCCTGACCTCCTGACAAATATTCTGGGACTCGGGGGAGTCATAAAGGGTCTCCTTTGGCTCTCTGCTCTGACACCACCCTCTCCCCTCCCCCACACGCCTGCTCTTTGACCTGAAAGCTCTTAGACCAGGGAACTTAAGAATTACTGCTGCCTGGGCCCCATCTCGGAGCAAGTAAATCGCATTTTGGAAGGAGGGGGGTAGCAGCCAACAGCTAAGAAGCAGGGACTTACTGTGCGTTAGGCAGTTTTAAGCAGTTTGTCTTGTTTATTTTTTATAACAACCCTGTGAAGAAAGTACCGATGATGTCCCCATTTTATAGAGGAGGATCAGAGAGGCTAAATGACTTGCTTAAGGTCACATAGTGCACGGTGGAGCCGGGAGTCACACCCACATCTGTGACATCTGAGTAGAAGGGCTTATCCCTATGGTACAGTATTTGAAACCTCGTGCTGCGGAAAACATGCCCTCCTCTAAATGTAACACCTGGTTCTCGAGGAGCTGACCACCAGGGTAGGGGGACAGAGTGTACACACGACACAGTTCCGTAACAACCCCAGGGATTTCCAGGGGTACCTTTAAGCGTTAGGAGACTTGAGCAGGGCCAGCATCCTCAGGAAAGAGGTGGGTTTGTACCAGCTCCTGAGGCTGGAGGCTGGGAGGCTGGGAGGCAGGAGGAGAGGACAGTGGGAACGATGCCGCATGGCACAAGTTGAGAGCCAGGAAGGAACTGGAAGGGGGTTCCCAGAGGTGGAGGAAGGGTCTCTCTGTGGTTATCAAGTCCTTTACTTGCCCAGTGCCCAGGGCCTCTGTGCTCATCTGTCTGATGAGCTCCCTGATAGCCTCGGAGAAGGGTACTAGGAGTCCCTGCTCTGAGGTTCGGAGAGAG